TGGTACTAGTGAGACCGATGATGACCTGTTGGTAAAGCATAGATTGATTCGGTTGCTTATTCTTGATGAAACTTTTGCAAAAAAAAATTATCGTCAAGAGTTTTGTTGAATCAGAAGTATTCATGACTCATCCTCTCAAAAAGAAGATTTGAAGTTAGTGATCAGTTTGTTGAAACTGATGACGATCTCTTGGCGAAGCTCTGATCAATGGTTTCGTTTTTTTTCGGCAAGCTGGTTGGTGTATCGAGACTGCTCTGTGGGTCGCTTTTGCTGTCGTATGATATGAAGTCCCATCTCCTGGTTGATGTTGCAGTGTGAGATTGACGGCTGCTGTTGATGCAGAGATTGCTGCACTTGAAAAAAAAACTTTTCTGGGATAGAAAATATTGATGCTGTTAAAATGGTTGGCAAGGAAGTTTTTACATCGAGTGCGGACGCATGAGTTGCTGAATTGTTCATCGGCTCTGCTATGCGTTTTTTTAGATTACAGTAGCTTTCTTCGGAAGGCTGTCTTTTTAAACTAGATGCTGAAGAAAGGCTGTGCCGTTTTTTTGGTTGATTGCTGCTAAAGTCGGTATCATCATCGTTTTTTTCTTTTGCACGTTTTTCAGAATGAAGTTGCTTTTTCGGAAGTTTTTGTTAAAAAGGATTGTTTACTTGTTTTTGTTGCTAGCTTACCCTAAATCTTAAGTCCAGAGAGCGGGAAGAGAACGCAAACAAATAAGTTTAACTTGCATTTAAAAGATAATGTAAACAGTTATCATAAGGCAAGTAAGTGCAAATAAGTGTACAGGCCTCACCGACACCTCGAATGGGTGTACATTATAATCAACCTTATGTACGGGAAATTTATGTTACGTGTATTGCCTCGGAATTGCAAAAAAAAATTGTACGAGCTTAAAATCATAGATTTCAATTCAGTACTAGAAAAAACGATTTTTTTTGTTATATGTCATTGCTAATTTAAAAATCCTGACAGGGGCGAAGTTTTGCAAACCGTAGAGAAAGGATCGTTTTTGTCGTGGGCGTATTACCTTCAGGCGTCAAATAAGCTAAAAAAGTGTAAAAGATTTTTCAAAATTTCTCTTAATTACTTGCGTTTCTAGAATAGTATTTCAGTTTTCAAGTTTTTTTCTAACACTAATTTAGTCTTGTTCCAGTAACTAGAATTCCAATAATTGTTCCAAACTGTCTTGTTCCAGTAATTGCTTTCAAACTGTTGGTATTTTTGCAATTGGCCCAGTCTGTCCTTCCATGTCGGCCAAGGCGTTCAGCAAGTCGATATGTATCTCTGTTCAAATCGGGGGGACAGATCAAAATAACTTGTTTAGGGTAGGTATAGGTTCGTATTTACCTTAGTATTTATAAAAATTATGCATCTTAATTTTTTGAACAACGGTCACGGCATTTTTTTTCTTCACTCTTCGTTATCAAATTCATCCTTTTCTCTACGGAAAACGAAACTCGGACTCTTTTTCCTTCTTTTTCCCCACCTGACATCGGCATCATTTTTATGGTATAACAACGAGTTTTACAAGGTTAAGCATGAAAACTAAATATGTTTGTCATGGTCTTATAAGTTCGCATGTCAATTTTTGTAATCGGATAATTTGAACAACACTTCACTGGAAAAATTTTACATATGGGTGGAAAAGGAAAAAGAGCGGAAGCTTCTTTTTTGCAACGTAATTGTCGTTGATGAAACTTTTGCAGAAACAAAAGTATGTTCCTCAAAAGTTTTGATCAGCAAGAGTTTCACGTTTGAAAAAATTTCTCCACTCAATTTTTACACGAATTTTCGATGTTTTTTGGATGTTGAGATTGTTCTCATCGAAAACCTCTCGAAGCTCGAGTGAAAGTGCTTCAATATGCTAAGTACCGACTCTGTCTCGTCCATACCTGACGTCTTTTTTCGCTACCTTGATTAAATGGAAAAACATAAGATTTCTCTCACGTAAAATAAACGAGTCTTGATTCGAGCTGCAACAATTTATTCTGTAAATTTTCACCAACTTTCAAAGAATAGTCGTAAACATACTTTTACCTAAAGATTGAAGGATAGGATTTTAACTGTTCTCGAGAAGAAACATTGAGCGGTTGGATGAAAAAATGATTAGTTTTTTCTGATCTACCATTTTATTTGATACAGTTTCCATTGCTTGTTTTTTATCCGGATCAAATTTAATATATTCTTATTATCAGCTTTAAATAAGTCACAAGGAATCAGTTCTGCGATTTCATAAGAATGCCATAAAACTTATTAAATGAATAATGTTGTATTGAAAGCATTTCCTTCATATTTGACACTGTGCACTGAAAAAGAATGGCAATTATATATCAATGAGTGTGATATTATTTGTTTTCAGGCATTGTTTGGACAAGGAAGCAATTTACGGAAACATTTCTCGATTAACTTTTAAGGGATTAGACTGTTATAAGGTATCCAGTTTCAAATGATCAACCCTTAAGTTTTCTAAAGGCGCCTTTGGCGCCATATATGCTAATTTTGAGGGGTAGCGTGTGCCAAAACATCGCAATGCTTTGGTCAAAACTTTCCGAAAAGTGCCTGAAAACGTTATTTTTTCTACAAAGTTTTGCCTTCGGCGCAAAAAATTTGGTCAACACAGTCTTTATAGTGATTTGGGAATCATAAAAAGTAGACAAAAACTAATTGGAAATCTTGATCCGCCCGTGCCTAGAATAGGTGCAGTACAATGGGTTTAATAACAGAAAGCGTCTTGCACTGTTTTGGATATCAAATTCCCACTATTTTAGTAAGGGCGGTAGCTGCTGCAAAATAATTCAAATGATTAAGAAAAATGTTTTGCTTAAAAGCTAAAACGTATCAATTTGATTTTGTCATGCCTGTGGTTGAAACTTTTGAAAAAGAACCAGCAAAAACTTTGAAGTTGTACGCTAGGAGTCTATTGGCCCAAGCATTTGAAAATATTTAAAGATTGGCTGCTTTTTTAGGTTTATATACTTGTGATATCCTATGTGACTAACTTAATAAAAATAAATTATAATTCCAAACATTTAAATTGATCTATTTTTGTTAATAGCTTTTCTCGAAGTTCCGCTGAGATCAACGTAATATGTTTTTTGGTCTCACTGATTCAGCTGTATACCAAAGTTTTGAACTTCAGTGACCTTGGACAAAATAATAGGACAAAAAAATTATATATCACTCAAGGTTACGTTACTGCTAGTGCAATAGCAGTACCACATACCCCCTCGGTTCAGAAAAAACTTTAGTTTTATGTAAATAATTTAGTAATAACAAAAAGAGGTTGATACTCAGTTTTAACAGTTTAATTTTCAATTGCAACTTCTGCTTGTCATATTCGTCTTTCTCAATTAATCTTCATTTGTTTCATTTCTCCAACTGGAGTTCCAGTCTGCTACCTCATCTTGTGTCGCGTTCGCGTATCCAGGTTTTCCGTCGTAAGAGATGTCTTTCTAGTAGTCCCAGTCGCATTTCGATTGGTCGGTCATTTCTTGTCTTCAAATGTGTCAGTCGCCTCCGATATTCCTGTAATGCCGCCTTTAAGAGTGTACCACCTGAGAATTACTCTTCCGATCTCTCCCGTATCGAGTGTTCTACTGAATCAAAGAAAAGTTGACGTTCCTTGCTCTTTGTTTGTCGGGAGCTTGTCCTGACACCTGTGTCCTCCATGCTTGAAACGTCAGATGCGCCTATTGGGGGGTCGCATCGCTCACAATTCTCTCCTGTGGGTTAATTCTTCCCTCGAATTTCGTCCGCCACTTTCTGGAACCCTCTTTTAAGGATTTGGTTGGCCAAGTTTTCCCATTCGGCTGGCGCTAAGTCAAGATTTCGGAAGGTGTCTAGTGTGTCCTATGGTTTAGTAGACAAATCCACTTTCTTCAGTTTTCTCCCTTTTCGCTGTTTCCGGGAGGTGAGCTTGATTGTGACGTCTTTTCTTTTTCGTTTTCCGCCTCCTCTGATACTGGTTCGTTGGCTGCCGTTGCAGCTTTTTCTCTTCTGCTTTGTTGGACAGTCTTCTTTTTCTCGGAATTCCTCACAACAACCTCTTCTTGGGTCTTTGGGTCGCTTGATGAGCTTGGTCCACTCTTGTTTGGTTTGGCCCGTTTCACCGCCAAATTGAGTCCTTTTCCTGCTTCTGTATTTTTATATGTAACTTTTGTCTGGCTGTGTTGGAATCTTTCCTTGGAGAACAATGAATCTGCTTGCTCTGACTGCAGCTGCAGCTCCTCTTCTGAATCGCTATCTTCTAGTCTCTCCTGTGAGCTGATTTTTTTGTAGTTCTTTCCTTGGCTCGGCTGGTGGGCTGTTGCTCGAGCCTTGTGCTGGTTCTTAATAAAATTTATTTTGGCATCTGCGATATCATTTTTCGGGTAGATTGATCCTCCGGACTTTTTTTATTGACTCGGATTCCGAAGCGATTTTCCCCTTTAGGGGTTTTGTCATGGCTTGTACGCTTTTTCTTAGGTCGCCCATTTAGATTATCATCTTTTTCGGTGAAGGCAATTTCTTCTCCTTGTCCTCAATGAAACCGCTTTCCCAGGAGTAGATCATCTCCTTTCTGAGTTCCGGGTTGGATTGTCTTGCTGTGGCTATAATCCGCCTGATAAGGTTTTTTGCGGTGTCTCTGCGCTCCTCATTCCATCTAGCGTTCGCTTGCAATAGATCCTTTGAAAATTTTCAGTTCCCATTGTGAATTATTGGCAATATTGCGCGAATACTACTTTGTTTTGGGGCGATACATGAGTGAACTTTGACAGTTTGTTCATAAAACTTATGACGCCGCGCTTGAGGAGTTTATAATTGCTTAACAATCAGCATCGCATTTCTAAGTGACTAATTTTGTGGTTTTTTTCTGTTAATTTGAATTAAATTACTTGTTTATTGAGGGTGAGTTAAAACAGTATTAAAAAAGTTTTCAGCAGTTGTTATTTTTCATTTTCGGCCCTTGTTGTACTGCCCCTTTGGCAAATCTCAAAATATGAAAAACCAGGTCGTTTTTAAATCTTTGAATTGCAATTTAATGTGTTTTAATTCTGATCTTGATACAGCACTACTTCAATTTTTTCAGCTGAGTAATTACAAAGACCTGAAATCTTTTCATGATCTATATTCAAATTTGGTTTAAAAAAATTAAAAATCAATTTTATCATAGTTCGATCACAAATTTTGGAAGTTTTGGATCAACCGTACAGTTCGGGGTGATTGTACGGTTGATCCCAATTTTTCGCATCATTTAGTTTCTTTGTGTAGTTTTGAGTCGTCGTAGAGCATTGAAAATGATCCAGGGCTGGCCTGGTTTTGGAGCCAATTCAGTTTCGACCATTGTGTGTTGTATGTTTCGGTCACGTGGAAAGTGAATGCGTCACGTGGTTTGTCTGAAGCATTCCTCTCACTCTTGTGGAGCACCGCCTGAACAGCAAAAAAGATTAAAAAAAACAAAAACTTTTCAAAAACGGCTAGCGACGAAAGTCAAAATTTGTTTGAAAAAAATCACGCCATCACGCGGGCATAAATTCCGTCATTTTCATTGAAAGTTGGAACAAAAATCCCGTTAATTAGTTTTAAGTTTTGATACCTTCTTTGAAACTGCGTAGCTAGACTAGACATACTTAACCAATCGAATAGATAAGCCTTAATTATATCCGTGTTACTTATCAATAATGATTAGTCTATGTTCTCTCGCTTTCTCAGTTTTCACACACATTTGAACTAACTTTCAAATTATTGCCGAAAAGTTTTCAAATTTTGTCGCGATAATTTTCAGACTACATATTTCGCCCAATACTCAGACTTTTGCTTTTAATTTCTAGACAATGTCGCTAAGAATTTTCAACCCGTGTCACGACTAGTTTTCAGACTGAAACGCGCCAAATTTTCAGACTAAGAACGCAATTATTTTTCAGACTATGAATCCCGACCGAAACTTTGCCCGCGACTATGAGACCTGTCCCGAATGAATTTTCGATCGCTGAATTGGAGTGACTTTGAAAGTCGGTGAAAAAAAATGGACCTCGACAAAGGGTCATCAATTCATTCCGCTGCATTGAAAAGAAAGTAAATTGGGAACCTTATGAATTAGCACCAAATCCCCTGCTTTCATCTCCACGGGGACTAAGTTCAACTCTTCTTCGGAGGGTGGGGGCTGGGTGTGACGTAACTTCATCACCGTCTCACCCGATGACTCATCTGTCGTCCTTTCGAAGAAAGATGTGATCTCTCTAGTGCGATGCGATCCGGGTTCGAACCACAGACAACCGTTTTCAATTGTGGCATTTTCAAGTGGTGTCCAGAGTCCGAGTAAATTTCCGGTTGTCATAAGGAATGTGCCATCCGTATGAGGCCTAACAGCCCCTCCCACTTTCGCCCTTTTGAAGATGTACATGCTTTGACAGATACATGGTCTCACAAATCCGAGACTCCTGGAAACAAAACAACTATCAAGTCGGATTTTGTATTTTGAAACAGAAAGTGCACAAAATAACAAAAAGTTTAGCCAAAAGTTTGGTCTGAGACGTTTGTTTCGTGGTTCCCTAAGAAGATAATACTGACTTTTCAACGTTAGTTTTGTCCAAATTTGTGGTGGATTTACGAGCGAACATCACCCCTCCCCTCCCCTCCTCCTTCCCTCCCTCCCTCCCTCCCTCCTTCCCTTTCCTTCCCTTCAAGAGTTCAGCCCTCTAACCATCAATTCGCCTCCCTTACGATGGGAACGGCCACGGCGAAATGAATTACCCGCCCCTCCACCAAAACAGAACCCAATAAAAATTATTCCTCTGCCCACCGAAAGATTCGCCCTTTTGGTATTATTTTACGACATCCCATTTTGTGCCGACCGAGTTTACCTAAAGGTTCGACCTTTGAGGAGGGAGCTCACGCCCCATAACTTTGGGCATGACTTTGAGCTCATTTCAAAACCTTCCACAAACCATCCCCCCCCCCCCCCCCAAAACCCCGCTGCGCCCAAATCTAGATCCCCGCCTGGCCTAAATGGAAAGTTTAGTATAAGCCTCAAAAGCCTCAATTGACATGAAAAACTCTTGAATGGTGGTCACGCCCGCACCTAGTGCTCATATTTTAAACACTATGTTTTTTTCTAATATAGTCTAACCCAATGAAATTAAGTTACAATGGCGTCGAATTCTACTTCAAAAAATTGTTTGGTTGGCTAACTGTGAGCTTTAATAGTGTTAAATATTTTCCTGTCACAAAGGGGAATTCATAAAAAACGCAAAATTTGTACATGCCTAATCGTTGGTTTATGCTTATATGGCCCAAAGTTACTTACTAGAACCATAAGAGGGGAGGGTTGGAGCCTGGAATCGTTATCAAGACCCCGAAACTCTAACCTGAGCAGTTCCTTTGTCTTCTCATGCTGCAGGGAGGCGCGTTTGAAGGCAGTGCTGTGCCAGTGGAGTGCATGGCCCACTTTGTTCAGAGGTGCTTTCTCTCTGCTCAGTCGTCTCCCAGTAAACGAGCGGGGAGGGGGTTCCTAATTGAAATGTAATTTCTGTTTCATCCACCTACCTTTAGATTTACTTTCTTTTACCAAATTGATCCGCGCGTTCATACGGAAACAGAGGGCAGGAACCATGGAACAATCAGAGGCAAAATCACAAAAATATAACAAATGGTACATATATCGCAATTTCAAAACAAAGTTTTGAGTGTTCTGGGTCAGAAAAGAAATTTATCATGGTTGTTTTGCGGCAACTATCTAAATAATCCATGACTAAAAAATAATTAAAATACTATGCGGGTTTAATGCCAGTCTTGTCAATCATCCCGGCTGTGCGCAGTAAGATTAGTTAGTGCACAAATTGATTTCAGTTGGTTTTTAACAAAAAAAGTTTGTCCAAATCATATTTGGTTCTTTTTTCTTTCGAAAATATCTTCTTGGTTTTATTACTAACTTATCTTAATATCTTATTGAGCAGCTACCAACTTAAATTTTTTCTACTTGATAGACTAACCCAAAATGATCAGTATCGCAAACAAAACAAATAGCTCAAACAAAAATTGGAGACCTTAACGTCCTCGTAGAAGAAGCGCACTTTATCCCCACTCTCTAAGAAGTATTTGTCAGAATTTTGTTTTCCATCCTCAACCTCCGCATTGAAAACACCAGACATACTGCACAGCTGAAACAACAAAATCGCATATTCAACTTTAAAAACGAGTCAATTTGATTTAAGCGGAATTTTTTAAAAATCTTTGATTGATTTTAAAAGTTCTTTTCGCAAGTCGGGACTCTTCTTTTCCGAGATCCCCGAAAGCACATATATTTATTCAAAACTTACTTTCTAAGTGAGTGTCTTCAAAACTTACTTGGCTAGGTTTCCAAGTTTTTTAATAAAAATGATTACCTTTTTTTACGTCGACCGAAAGGATTTTCCGAGCTCTTTTGAAAGACAATAAAGACCCTACTACCCTACTATAAAAAATGTTCTGCGCCGGTAGGTAGAAAATGATACCAAAAGGGTGAAAAAATTGTACCAATACAGGGGTCAAATCTTGTAATGGGAGTTAGGTAGAGAAAGTCGAACACCCCCCCCCCCCCCCTCCTCCTCCTCCCCCAAATCCACCCCTGAGAGGAATGGCTAATTTTTTATTCCTCAAGGGGGCGTGCGTTACCTAGTTCGACCAGCCCTGGTAGTATGAACAGATTTTTCACTAGAAATGAAGTGATTGGAGCTTAGCTTGTTTTCTACTAGCCTGGTCCATAGATCCCTCGAGTATCCATGCCATCTCCTTCTTCAACTTGTCCACTTCCTCTGGCGTGTAGTACTGTTCCACCACTAAGTACCCATCACTCTCGAACTGCTCAATCTGGCTAGCACTCAACGCCATCTTGTTCGAACTCACTCAATAACAGCTAAAACACTAGACTTTTAATAATTTTTCAGCCCTATAACTAATCTGCTTTTCAGCCCAAAAGTTTAACTTAGGGCACATCCCTAGCGCCAGAAAAGTTGAAATTTATGGGTGCGTGGCGTAAACAATGCTAAAACATCACTTCTGGCGTATTTCTCAAACCTTGCTCACAGGTTGAAATTGTTTGAAAAAGTTCTCTAACTGTGTCAAGAGAGCATTTTGATTTTTTTTTCACGAAAATATAACTCTACTAACAACAAATTTGCTACTGAGATAGGCTCAAAAACGAGGTTCAAATATGTGTTTAAGTCCCAAAAACATAAAAATCCGAAGCATTATTGACGATACTTTTCATTAACAAATTCTAGTTGTTCCGACCGTTGCACCACAAAGAACCATGTGACTGGTGTGAATAATGTATCATGTTAAAGCCCTTCCAGTCGTAATTCGAAATTTAAAAATTTCAAAAAAAATTTCCCAGTGTCGAGAAACACCGGTTTGAAATTTTAGATTTTTCGTCTTATTTCGAGCAAGTAAAGCCGCCAGCAAGCAGGCCTAATTAGGCTTAATTTAAGCCGTTTTTTAGTTTTACCCGAGAAAAGTTTTTGGGACTCAAAAACTTCATAAATTCAGAAAATTTCTGCTAAAACAAAATTAAAAAATTGTGATTTTTTTTTCATTTCATACAATTTTTTTGTTTGTTTTTCCAATTTGTCTATGGCTGTCGATTACGCCCAAGTTCTAGTTTTGAGTTTAAATCCTTTTATCACACCACGCAGTAAAAACGATTGATTTGAAAGAAAAACTGTCTGTTTGTTTTTAAAGACTATGGTCTGAACATTTCGTGCATCCTTGTTTCAATATGCTTTCATCTCAATTTATCTGGCTACCAATTTGACCAAAACTTTTAAAATCTTCCATTTGAGATAAAACCTCGCCCAAGAAACGAGGCATCGTCTTTCGCAAAAACCATGTGTTCTCACGTAGTTTTAGGATTAACTGGACAAGATTACCTTCGAAAAAGAGTGAAATAAATTTTGACGTATAAAAGTGGTTTAGCTGCATTTTGCAGCTTTGGGTAGATTGGATGACTTACCTTCAAGAAGGCCGTGTTCAGGAGATGTTGTTCAGTCAGCAGGCAGGATAAGGTTAATATTAGCGATTGACTGGATTAATATATGTGAATGACACCAAATTGGATAGTCTAGTGTTTGAGATCCGATTAAGAACTGTTTGCGATTGAGAATGCTTCAGCTAAACTTGACCGGAGTCTAAAAACGATCAAATGAATTGTTTTAGTTCAAATCGACACCTCAAAATAAAACAAGTCTAAAGGTCAACCGAGATAAGGATCACGAGGCATGTGATTCAAAGGTGTGTGTCGCTACAGGCACTAGGCCGCTAAATTCAATTTTTCTTGGTATAGTTAATGCCACATTGATAAAGAATCTGATAGAATTTAATTAAACGAAAACTCCCCATTCGGACGTCATTAATCGCTAGTTTCTACATGTAAAAACTATGTCCAAATACCTAGATATCCTAAAGTGCTCTAATTTTTGACTGATTAAATTGCTCAATGTTACCGATATTGCCAAAATTTTGGGATTGGCTGGAAATTTTTAGCGATAGAAAGTTACCAGAAGCTCATTCATACGAAAAGATAGCCGGTTGCTGAGTAATTTATACAGCATGTTCCGACCACACTGATTTAAGAAAAATAATTCAGAAGTAAATATAAGATAAAAAAAAACGAAAACAAAAGCTTTTTAACACTGAATATGCGCCATAGTTCCTTCCGGTCACTTTCTGGTCGCAACAACAACAGCAAAAATACTCCGTAGTTACACACGACTCAGAGTTTTTATGGCAAAAGACTCAACCATCAAATGAATTTTTTTCTTAGAAGAGGGAAAAAAGATTGGCCTAAAGTACATTTTTTGAACAAAAACAGAAACAAATTTTTTTAAAAATTGTAAGGCGTCGCGTGGGATGTGATAAATGAGCTTTTGCAGCCACGCTTTTTTTATGAACCTGACTGAATTTTTGTGCTACTCAGACTAACTTAACACCAGGGTACCCGCATCCAAGTTTAGGCGTAAATAATCGATTATAACGGATTATTTTGATGATTTTTTGACAATTATAATCGATTATAAGTACCAAAATTAGGTCCTTAAGGATTTATAGGTGATTATAATCGTAATATTTTCCAGGAGATTATAATCTCTTATAATAGATTATAACTGATTATAGTTCTTACTAAAAACCCTTAAAATCAATTATAATCGATTATAATCTCTTATATTGCCGGAATTTTCCTATATTCGAATTGTATCTTATGGGTTATTATTTTTGTGTCAATAAAAAAATCTCTAAAAGAGAGATCTCTTGAACACTTTGGTTCATCTGAACACAAAGTTTTACCACGAAACAAAAGTTTCATAGAGATCCTTTCATATGAGTGAAAAGGTTCTCGCGGTAGATGAAAAAAAAATTTTCCGAATCAATCATGAAATGAATTCAATTTGCTGATGTTTTGGTGTTTAGAAAAGCTTAAAATTTGCATCACAAAACAACTCTTATGAGTCTAATGGGTCTAACTCTAATTTTTTCTCATTTTTCATAGGAACCAACGTCCACAAAAAGCATAAAAAGTAAGCAATTTAGATGCAACTTCGAACACAAAAATGGACAAACAAAAAGGATTTTTGGATTTTTGGATTTTTGTGCAAAACTAACGAAGTAGAAATTTGAATAAAAATAATGGAATATAATCAATTATAATCGATTATAATTGTATCGAAAAATGGACGAATAAATAATCGATTATAATGGATTTTTGTGCAAAACTAACGAAGTAGAAATTTGAATAAAAATAATGGAATATAATCAATTATAATCGATTATAATTGTATCGAAAAATGGACGAATAAATAATCGATTATGATCGATTATAATGGATTATAATTAATTGTAATTTGATTTGAAAAAAAAAAGATTATAATCAATTATTAATTGATCAAAAATGGATTGTTTCTCAATTTTAGTGAGACTGGTAATAAAATCGTAAAGTATAATCGATTATTAACGCTTGAAACTGGATGCGGGTAATCAGAAAATTAAGCGAACCTAATACAAATATTTCAAGCAAACTAAACATTGGAACAGCTCAATTTGATTTGCGATGTGAGTATAGTGTGACAAACTTTTCAAAAATGAAAATTTAAGCAATTAAAATTGATTTCAATAGCTTCCAACTTTTTGCAAAAACGTTTTATAGTATTATGATCTCCAAAACATGTTAAAATGAATAAATTTAAGTTTTTTTGTCATTATCAATAAAATTTGCTTGCTGCTTGAGTTGGTCCTCACCTCAACAAGCTATTCAAATATTTAATTGAAATTTTACGGATTAACTCAAAACGGAGCGTAAATATTTTTTAATCAGCCAAATGATTAAACTAACTAGAATCATTGATTAAAAATTTTTAATCCAGTATTCAAAAGTTCAACCTCTGCAAAAAGTTCAAGACCGTTTTATCCACAAGGGAAAGTACTAAGAGGAAGTTCAGCCCTTCACGGAGAAAGGCAGTTGTGTCCATCAGCTAAAACAGTACTTTTCATTCCTTTTTTCAGCCCTAAAAGCAATCTAATTTTCAACCCTAAAGTTTAACCTAGGGCACATCCCTAGCGCTACAGAAATCGAAATTTATGGGTGCGTTGCGTAAAAAGTGCCAAAAAAAACCCTTCTGGCGTATTTCTTAAAGCTTGCTCGCAGGTTGAAATTGGCTGAAAAGTTCTCTTACTGAGTCAAGAGAGCATTTTGAAAATTTTTTCACGAAAAATTTAACTCTCCTCACAAAAAGTTTACTCCCGAGATAGGATCAAAAACGATGTTCACTTTTGTGTTTCAGTCCCAAAAACATGAAAATCCGGAGCATTATTGTCGATGCTTTTGATTAATGAATTCTAGTTGTTCCGACCAATGAAAATGTGAGAAAACTTTGTATACGGGTGTGTTTTAATTTTATTCTGGGGAAATCAGAAAAGTAAGCAGCCTTAACGGAGCCTTAAAATTATTTTCAATCAACCAAATAATTAACCTAACTTGAATTATTCAGTCGATGTTTATAAATTTTCAATCCAGCTTCTTTAAAGTTCAACCTCTGCGAAAAGTTCAAGAGTAGGACCTTTTGTCCTCAAGAGAAAGGGGAAAGAGGAAAATCCTGCACTTCACGGAGAAATGCTGTTAGGTCCATAACAAGGATGTAACGGGGACGTAATCATTTCACGTTCTAATTTTTCAGACACAGTAAAACGTTGGCAAAAGAATTAAGTTTTAATAGCAGGCACTTTAAAAGAAACTAGGAGGTGATTCAAATTGAATTTTTGAGCTGAAGCTGGTTGAAAAATGCTGAGTTTCTCAACAAAATTATTCGTTTGTTGAATTTTTGAAAACATAAATTTGATTCTCGAAAAACAAAGTGTGCATTTTATCAACTGATATTTTTCATCTTTTTATGTTATTCTTATTTGGTTTTTGAAACTGCACAATAATCAACTCAGCGAAGTTTAAAAAAATTGTTGACAAAAATATATATTTTTTTTCAATTTTTTTTTAATATTTAGCCAACTTTAGCCCAAAAAACAGCTACAATCTAAGATTTCCACAGTTCATGAGGTTGAATCATTTAAAGCTACTCGCACAGTTTTAAAATTTTTTCTCAATATCAAAGTGATTCATAGTTTCAAAATGATACTACACTCAATCAACCGGCAGCAGGCTTCAAGTCTAATAAAATTCAGTAGAAATAAAACACCCGCTAGATATGCCTCCCGTTTTTGAGTGATCAAAACATTTCTTAAAAAAAATAGCTATTGATTTCTTTGGATAAATGTTGCAAGCAAGTTGAAATTTTTTGGCCCGATATCAAGATTCAATTTCAATGGAAATTTTTCGTTCCGACTTTCGATCCGAAAGTAACGGAATATTTGTGCTCGGGGTGGGTTGTTTTTTCTTCAGTCAAATTTCGACTTTTTAACTAGCGACTTTTGACGGAATTTCCTATATCATTCTAAATTTATTGTCGTCTTGAGCTTTAATTTGAAAAGATATTTCACGTGTGACCTTTTTTAGTAAAGTTACGGGGGTTGAAAGATTGCCGTTTTGGCCAATTGGGGACAATTAACGCGCGATATATTTCGCGCTATTAACGCGTAAGCGGAGAGTTAATCCGTTTTGAAATTTTTCCAAGTTGGTTGAAAGAAGCCTACTTGTCATCATTGATTTGTTACAAGGAGCGAAATCTGTTATATGGCGTGCGGGGAGATGATTTTCATTAAAAAAATTTAAATTTCAGAAAAAAAAAACGTTTTCATATTGTTTTATTTCATTTAATTTTTTATTGTTATTACTGCTCCATAAACCTTAAAAGGCAGTCCGAACATTCAGGGCTTCGCCCTGATACGAGCCGCCTTGTTTAAGTTTCCTCGGAGTTTGCAGATTTACTTGATATGTTTTATTTTACAAGCAGAAGAAAACAAAATCTTTCATTCATTTTTATCTGATCATAGGTTTTTTCTTTTGTTAGAATATTAACTTCATTTAAAATGCACTCCTAGCTTAGAATATCCACTAGTGATACAAAATTCAAAAGGGGGTTCAAAAATTGCCAAATTAGCCATGTTCTGGACTAAATTATGTCAAATAACAAAATCGTTTCAAAGTGAAATGAGGCTAGCTAATTGTTCAAATTAATTTCTAACGACTCAAAATTTTACACTTTGATTTTGCCCAAAATTTACAGTTTTTCAATGTTTTCTTTCCCCAAAAATTATTCGATATGAAATAAGGGACATTCGGAACATTCAAGGCTTTGCTCTGACATACCAGCAGTTTTGTTTATTTCAAGATTAGTTTTTCGGCTAAAGCTAAATTAAGACAATTATTTACTATTTGTCATGTGTTTCACCGCGCATTTGAAAACAATGCTATAGAATTATGCTACCTGCATAACTGACTCAGTTGAAATTTTGCCATCAAACTGATTTTCGAACAATGGATTCTCATAATATTTTAACTGACTCGGATCGTATTATTAAAATCATCTGCAACCGAATTGTTCCATGTCTAACACGAAACTTAAATCCACATTCAGCCCGCTCAGAATACGCCTCAAATGAGTGACTGTATGGCGAGCGAGGATGGGAATTGGACTGAGTATCCATGCTCGCTCCATAGCTGCGAGAGGGAGGGGTGAGAAACAGTAGTAGAGGAGCAGGTGTCCCAGGAGGGGGTCT